GTATAACAATCAGATAAACAGATCAACACTGACTAGGTCGAGTGACACTAGAAAGAGGGCCTCAGACTGTGTATGCATGATTTCATCTTAAAAGCCTTCTACCAAATTAGGCCTGTCACTGGACCTCCTTTCCCTCAGTCTCTTCTTCATTTTTGTCCCCCAGGTTCTTTTAGACAGGGAAAATTCTGCGTCAGAGCTTTTGACTGTGGGATGGCAACCCCCTCCCACACTTAATGCCTTGTCTTTCTACTGGACTCTGCAAGTTTCCCCTCCCCACTGTAGGGCATTTCATCTAAAGTCCCTCCCTTTGAGTCCTGAGAGTCAGACTCTCTGGTCTCTGGTACTTTCTAGGGGGTCCCCCACTTTCTATCCCCTGGGGTTGCATATTTCCATTCATTCTGCTGGCCTTCAGGGCTTCACTCCTGTCTCTCCTCCTCGCCCCCCCCCCCCATAGCTGATCATATTCTCCTTTTAGCTTCTCCCTCCCCTCTTCCACCCAGGTGCAACTTGGGATCCATCTCAAGGAGAGGCTCCAAGACCTGATACTACTACTGATGCTATGGTACGCTTACAGACAGGTGCCTAGCATGGCTGTCACCCAAGAGGCCCAACAAGCAGCTACTAAGACAGACACGGATATTTTCACCCAACCATTGGACTAAAGCTGGGGACCTCTGTGGTTGAATTAGGGAAAGGTTGAAAGAGGAGGAGGAGAAGGAGGAGGATGACCCTATAGGAAGACCAGCAGTCTCAATTAACCTGGGCCCAAGATCTCTCAGACACTGAGCCAACCAGGTAGCATACACTGGCTGGTATAAGGCCCTGATAGATATAGAGGAGAGGACTGTCTGGTCTGGCCTCAGTGAGAGAAGACACAGCTAACCCTTGAGAGACTTGAGGCCCTAGAGAGTGTAGAGGCCTAGTGGCATGGAGAAGAATCCTCTTAAAGACTTGGGGGAGGATAAATGTGATGAGAAACTGTGGAAGGGCAGACCAGGGGGGAGGCCATGACTGGATTGTGAAAAAAATAAAATTAAAAAAAAATAGTACATTTCTGTACAGATAAATGAATGGAACTGGAATTGAAATAAAATGTCAACAGTGGTCCTTTTAAGTGGCAGAATTGTTTATTTTTCCCACCTTATTTTTTTCTAAATAGACGATACATTGCTGTAAGAATAAAAACTTGCAAAAACAAGTGGGAAAAAAAAGAGTCTCCTCCCGAGTTTAGGCATGGCACTGACTGACCACTCCAGTGCAGACGCCCCTGCTGATGTAAAGTCCTTCGACCTTTACTTGAAAGAGAACAAAAGCAGAAGTGGTAAATTGTAAAATCTTTTGTAAAGATTTTGTAAAACGTTTGCAACGAGTAACACTGGTGTCAAATATTCTACTGTCCCAATTTCTTGTATGTTTGAAATTACAATTGGGGTAGAGATCAGAGATTAAAGCAAGACCTTAAATGCAGAATTCAGAAAACAGAAAAGAGATCAGGAAAATGCTACAATGTCAGATCTGGCAGTAATAGACATGGCAAACAGTAGAGAACTGGGGACAGACAATCTGACAAAGAAACTACCAACAAACTGAACTTCTACCCATGCCTTCAACATAAAACTAAATTGCTGAAGTAAGGAACAACTACAGAATTGTTTCTACTTTGAAATTAGTTAACGTTTTCCCTAAAGTCTAAAATGTATCTCATGTATATCCTTGTCTCAACCATGAGACAAACAGAAAGGGACCACAGGGGGACTTTCTAGTCTGTGACAAAGTGAAGTGCCTTGTTCAAGGAGGTAAGCAAGTGACTGAAACCTAATAGCTAAAGCTCTCAGGGACTGAAGTCTCCAAACCAGTCACAATGGGTTTAGTTAACATGCAAGCAAAATGTAATTCATAGATAGTTTTCATCTTATCTGCTAAGTGAGAACCTAATCCTACAAGTGACTGCACTAGAGTAAAAGGACTCCAGTGAGTTCTGCCCACATGGCTTTGGCTCAGAAACTAACACTGGACCTTCAGAGCTCTTGCCTTAAGACAAAACTTCCATGACTATTAGTTTACAAAGTGCTGGCTGATGCATCTAGACCCAAGAAGACTAGTATCTTGGTTAATTACACAAAAGCAAGGCACAAGTTACAATCCACAGGACAAGGACAAAAGCATCCACTTAAAGAGTCCTCAAGTCACAGATCCTCACCCTGGCTATGTGACTTCAGATAGATTATCTAATCTCTCAGCTTTAATGTCATTCATAAAATAGATTTTGTCAGATATACCTTTCAGAAGAAAGAATCATAAGTGTGTACATATATGCACATAAACACATAAATACGTGTGTATGCTCTTATGTGTATATACACATATATAGCCAGCTAATAATTTGTCAAAATATATTTGTAATTTACTATTTCAGTTGAAGTACAATAATACTGCATTAATCTCTAACATGTCATGATTGTATTTATATATAAACTTTGCTTGATTCAAAATGAAAGTTTTTACTTTCCTTCAATTTGATTTTTAAAAAAATCTACTGATCCCTAATATCATCTTTAAAAGGAGCTGCCTTGTTCCTAGAAGAGTCAGTCCTGAAGATGAACAAATGCGTGTAAGAACACATCTGAGCAATTATGAGAATATTCCCTGCACTGTGATTTAGCAAAGGAAGTTTGGAGCTAACACTTAAGGGAGCTGAGAATTGTCCTGAATAGTCATAATTAACAATTTTATTTGGCCAAGGTCTTTGACGTTAACCAGGAGCAAGGTGAGAATTGAATTCTGAAAACTGAGAGTCAACTGACTGTGAAGGAAGAACAGGATGACTTGTGAAGGACTCAAAGGAACTCGGAAACTCAGTGACCAGCCTCTCTGCAGGCAACCATAAGTGTAACCAGGACTCAGGGCCAATAGAACTTCATCTTCCTTAAAGAGAAGGAAAAGGCAGTAATGTCTCAAAATGGAGGGCATAGATTTTTGAAAAAGTACTAGGAACTTTTTAAAGACTATACAGAATTGTAAAATATTAAAATAGGATTGTAGAAATCATCCATCATTACACTGAAAAGAGAAAGAACGAGAAAACCTCATTCGTGTGGGGGACAAGGGAAGTCACTGCTGAAAGGATGCCATCTCAGAGTATCTCCAACACCCTTTTGAGGCCCGGTTCATAATGCAGGGATTTACAATAAGGCATGGAGACACACACCTGCAATCCTGACACTGGAGACTGCAAATTTAAGACCAACCAAGGCCACACAGCTACTCTCAGGTTATCCTTAGCTATATACATAGTGAGCTACATACATATACAACACACACACATAAAAACGATGGTATATAACTCAATTAGCTACAGACAAGAGACATGAACAGGTATTTCGCTGAAGGTTTCTAGATGACAAACAAAAATATAAGATGTTAAAGATGAAAAAGCATGTAAAATGGCATTAATCATCACTAGCCATTCTGAAAATGTTCTGTTGTTTTATTTGAACAAGCTAAATATGCCAAATCAACAATGCTTGTGATAGTAAATGCTTTGGGCTTAGAATTAAATCAGATTTTTTTTAATATATACATATCAAAATTTGGAAAAAGGGATCAAATCCCTTTTGAAATTCATTTGTTTCAAAGTAATTCCCATGCACCTGACACAAACCTACAGGTAATTTTGCAAAACAGTGTGCCTGTGGTCTAGCACAGACACACAGATAATAAACTGAAGAACATCTGCACTATGAAATTATTAGTCAGTAATAAAAAGAACAAGCTGTTGATAAATGCAACAACTTGGGTAGTGTTTGAAGGAATTATGCTAACTCAAAAAGAAAGGCAATTCCAAAAGATTCTACAATGATTAAATTTACATAACATTCTTGAAATAACAAAATTATACAAATGGGAAATCAATTAGCTAGCTGCCAAATTCAAGCCACAGACTGAAATATGGAGTAGATAAAGCTGTAAAAAAAGAATGGGGATTTAACCACGCTGTAACTTGACAGATCAATGACAAATATTTGCTTACAATGTGGTATTGTAGTTCTGCAAGCTATGACTTCTAGAAGGTACTGGAGAAGCCATATACAGGAAACTATGGTTTGAATATGTGTCCCCAGATCCCTGTGTTGACAGCATTAGGTATGTAGCTACTGGCACTATCGAGAAGTTACTGGGTCATGAATGCACATAACTTCATATGTGTGTGTACACATGTTCAGTGTGTACGATATATATTATTTAAGTGATTTGATCCCCTGGTAAATCCAGAGCTGAATGGACAATTAGGAGGTGGTTTCTTACGTGAAGAAGAAGGTTTCTGGGATATGCCTGAGAACTTTACCTCAGCCCTGGATCCTTGATTTGCTTTGGACCGCCTCCCTTCTACTGCTACAGGCCCAAATCACAAAACCAATTGAAAATAGAGTGTAGTCTCTGACAGCCTGATCCCAAATTAATCTTTCCCTGCTTTCCATTGCTTCTTCTCAGATATTCTGCCACAAAGATATCAAGTAACAGAGAGAATGTCTGTATTTCTTCTTACAAGCTCTTAGGGGGCTCCACCAGTATCTCAGTACGTACTGCACATGGTTGTATTTATTCTTGCCAAAAATTTCACCCAGACAAATACTTCACTCTTTTCAAATTGTTTGCTTCTGTCATCTAGTACAAAGTTTTCAAAATGATTAGAAGTACCAAAAAGTTAAGTGGACTTCCCTAGGAAAACAAGAATCCCCCTTTATAAAATATTTTAAAGACAGTACACCTACTTCATAGAATGCAGCTATTGCCTCCTGATCTAAAAGACAAAACTTTATACATAATGAAGTGAAGTCAGTTTTAACAAATACTTGTTGACTCTGGTCAACAACCTGATTGACAGTCCACTATTCAACTCGTCTTACACTAAAACTTGCTGAATTTTCTTATACATGTCTATCTTACTCTAGGTCTAAGCTAGGCTACTGGTTTCTCAAGGTTTTCTGTACACTGATTACCTGCACACGGAACACTGCCGCTGAGGCTGCAGAGCAGTGAACATGACGATCATGGAGTAGTTCCGAGGCGGGGCTTTTACAAACTTCCGGAACTTGTCCCCATTCATTCGGAAGATGGAGCGCCTGGAACTCCATTCCATCAGCTGTTCCACTTTTTCAGCCAAAAGGTTCTGCAATTAAATAGAAGAATTAAAAGTTACAAGGGTATTCCTCCCTCAGATTCACTCACATCCCATTCTCTTCTGTTTCCTTAATAAGTCTATATTTGTTGTGCTACACAAATGATTCATGAGGAGCTGAAATTTTTCAGATTAGATTTCATATAAATAGAATTATATCAAGGCTATATTCTTAACCTAAACTAATCTTTGCTAATGGCCTTTCTTTCAGTAAATATATTAATTCCTCATTGACCCAACTTGCACAAAATATTTCATTTTTGCAAATGACATTAAGGACTATAAAAAGGTATTAAAGAAACTAAACTTCTGGTTCTCAGTGAAAAAAATGGACTATATTTACCCAATATTCACTCTAAATACAGGTAAAAGTTCTGTTCAATTTATTTTAAAAAGTCAGCCAACAACAGAAGCCTCTAAGAAGTGAAGGCAGACAGACTGGCTAGACACTTGAAGAATGGCACAGCACAAGTGCCCTGGAGGTCTGATGTGGTGTGGTATCTCCTAGACAGGATGCTGAAGGAGGCAGCAACACACAAGGTGATGGTGTAGATCCAACAGACTTAAGGAAACTTGTTCTGCTACTCAAAAGGCAAGGAAAGGACAAGCCATATAAGATCAAGTTAGCAGCTCTACCGAAGATGATCATCACACACACACACACACACACACACACACACAGAGCAAACTTGCGTGAGAAGCTCTCTGTCAGGAAATTTCCCTTTAAGCATTTAACATGCGATGACAGAGAAATCTTTCAAGTACAAAACTGCATAAAAAGAGTGTTGTGTAATTTTATTTATAAAGGTCAAAACCAAGAGAAATGAGTCTGCAGTGACAGAGGTAAGGAAGGTGATGAATGTAGACCAGGCAGAGATTGAATGATAATGCACACAAGGTGAGAGTTCCACTGGTACTCTGTCCCAGAGAGGGCACAGGGAAGAGAGGGCACTGAGCTTCCAGGCAGAAGGCTCATCCTCAGACCACTCACAGTACCTGAAAAAGTCTGAAAAGAAAATCCTCCATTGAGATATACTTCTGTAAGAAAAAGACTTTCCTTGCCCTCCCAAGACATGAGTGTCAGTGGTAAGAGACAGGCTTGAAATACTGTGTCTAAGCCAGCTCTGTATACAATTTAGAGAAAAACACAATCTCTTTCTCTCCCTCTCAAGAACACTCAGTGGATCCCTATGAACTCTTGAGAGGTGGCTATGCACATAAGCAGGAAGACAGGCATCTTATCTCGCTTTAAAAAAACAAAAGGCAAACAAACAAAGGCCTGAGTGAAGTATTCTGTGCCTACCAGAGCAAAGGGAAAAGCTGAATCAAAATCAAAAGAAAGGGAAGGGGCAGAAGGAGGGAGAGCACACTGGCTGAAGAGCAGGCCCAGCATTCAGGTCAGCAGAAAATGACATGCTAACTGAATGAAAGGGATTATGGGTAATTATTGGGTTTGTTGTTAGGGTTTTCAGTCAGAGAATTTTGCTATAACAAAAAAAAACAAGAACTGAATAACTTGAAAACAATTGTACCTATGTGCAGACAATCTAACTGTTAATTCCACCTGAAAGTATGAGTACATTTTCATAAGGAGATTAATAATCCTATTAAATTGAAAAACAACAAATAAAAATTAATTGGGGAGATTGTTCTAATCCATCAGCATACCCCTATAGAGAGGGTTAGTTCCCAGACTTAATTCTGAGAAGCAGTATTGGAACATACACTCTGCTCAACGTACTAGTGTTTGCCCTACAGAAAACTGGTAAGAGATTCACAAGATTTATATAAAAGATTCCAACTCTTCAGTGTAAAACTCAATGATCAACGTTACCTAAATGTTCTTTTAAGCTTTTGAAATTTAACTGATAGGTAAAATATAAATGTAAAATATCTTAAACATTTACGAATCACAATCATTAAGCAAAAACAGAAACCAGAAACTAAGCAGAGAAGTGTGTCACTGAACAGAGGGAACTGGTCTTAGAAACTGATACTTTTCTGAGTTCCTAGGACACTTTCATACACAGTCTTCAAATTAAACACAAGTATACACTTTGAATGTCTTCAAATTATAGGCGGTGGAGGAGTTTAAACACATAATTATACCAGTACTGGTTAAAACCATTAAAATACAAGTGAAGTGTCGGAATGTACTTACAAACTATCATAATTCTAGAGAATAGAAGGAATTTCCAGAGATATATCTCAGGGTAAGAACTTCACACTGCCATTAGCTCCCGAATAGGCGCCAAGTGACCCAAGTGGATGCTGTGCAAGCAGTGGATGACAGGAAGCAGTGACTGGGTCATGTCACAGCTCTAGAATCTAATGCTTAAGAAAAGGCAGTCTTTGGTTTTACATGTGTGTTTGTGTATGTGGCACAGATACATGTTCATATCTTCATGTGCAGTGATGAGGGTGAATATGTGTGCTTATGGACATATACAGAGACTAGAGATGGATGGTGCACTCTATTTTTTGAGTTGCTCCCTAAATCTGTTGCTCCCTAATTCTGGAGTCCACTGGCTGAACTTCAGAGACTGTATCATTTCCCAGCCACCACACTGGGACACAGATGTTACTCGATGCTGGAGAGTGGAACTCAAATCCTTAGACTCCTGCAGCAACTTTACTGTCTGAGCCAGCTTCTCCGCTGTGGAAACACCAATCTTTTAAAGGAATTGCTAGTGAATCTTCCCAACCTTTACCCTGGAGAGAAAAAAAAGTTTCTATTTTTATGGACCAGAAGTAAATCTGCTCTCTGGCCAGGAGGGAGATGCTAACCCAATCTTCACAGCATTTTATATAGCAATGTCCTTGAAAAGACAGCACAATACGAAGCCTGTTCACGCTTGTACTGAGCTATGTAGAAACATGAAACATGAGTGCTCCGTGGAGACGTGCCTGCAAATAATACTGAGACGCTTATTCTTTAAAACAGGCCATTCATAGGCATCATCTGAAATTCTGAAAAATCCAAACATGACACACAGGTTGTTGTTTACTTACCGTTTAGAAATTAAAGTTCTACTTCTGTTACTTATGTTTAAAGGGGAATGTAGAAATATAACTAACCTCCGAATGGAATGGGTGGGTATCTGACCCTCCACATCTGCCCTTCCCACTCTCCAATCTGGGTTCCAAGACAACACTGCATTTAGCTTCCCTACATATCCTAAAACATCCCTGACATCATTAGCTAGTTTTTGGATTGTTTTAAGGTTTCAACCCTTCAGAGGAAAGATGCACCAAGTACTTAACACAAACCTATTTACCTATCTTAAGAAATATTCCATGGGAACCTGTGATGGAGAAAACAAAGATGGAATCTAGGCTTCCCCAGAGCTATTCACCTTAGGGAACAGCACACTCATTAACTGGCCTAATCACTAATGGAAGGTCCTCAGGAAGGGAATAATTTCTATGAAGGACAAAAAAGACTAAAGAAGTTATATTTGCTTTTAACAAACAAACATACAGTAGGGCTTGCCTAGAATGGTCAAAGTTTATAACTTAACCAAATCCCTTTCAATGGTATACCTTTATACAGTTCCTCACTGTGAAATACTGATAAGCCCTCAGAACTGTACAAATGAAAGAGCCCTATTTTTTATTTATATTCTACAAACTGACAAGCATTAGGTTTAAATGCCAGGCTAAAAGTCATGTTACCATTGAAAAACGAAGGAGGGGAGGGGAGGGGAGGGGGATGAAAGGGGAAGTGGAAGGAGAAGGGGAAGGAGAAGGGGAAGGGGAGGGAAAAATAAAACTTTTATGTATTTATACCTTGAAAAAGGTAGAACTACAATCATATATAGTTTTCTCATTACAAAATTTACATTTTTTTAAAGAAACACTAATCAGTCTGTGTCATCTGGCAGATGAATTATTTATATTTCCGTTTCCAATCACAATACTGCATCAAAGCTATCTACAATGTACCGGTGTGTTAGAATGTGAGATTCACTACTCTCTGGCCAGATTCTGGTATTCATTCTCATTTTCTCTTACACACGTGCCTGTGTGTACGACTCTGAAATACTGAAAAATATCACATCATTTTAATTTGCATTAGTATTATTTTGGCAGAACAGTGTGATTTTTATTTTTTAAGTAATTTATTTATTTTTTTCTCAAATTGTAATTCATTCACACAGGGGTTATAAACACAGAAAGGCAGGGTGTGGGGAAGGGGATGACACTGGAGTGTGGGTGTTCAGGAGGAATACAGATATCTTCAGAACCAGGTATCGGCTGGGTGAAGGTTCAGGGGACAAGTCACTATGACTCTGCCTATGACTCGCTTGTCCTTATCTAAGTTGGCATTGTCTTGCATTAGTATTTTATGGCAAAGTATTTCTCACAATTATGTTCTGTCTCGTACTAATTATATCATGTTCCTTAATTCTTTGATCTAATCACAAATACAATTTAAAATTTTGCATTATCATATTTTCATTATACAAAGTGATGCTTTTCAAATGATACTCTGATTCAAGTCTATCAGGTACTTTTGATCACAGCCACCCTGCAATGCCATTTCCTGCCCTAACTCTGGACAGTTTCCTTCCTATTCCAAATAGTCCCCTTTCTATTTTCAGATTTTATGAATGAACACATACACAAACACACACACACACACACATACACACACACACACACACACACACACACACACACAAGAGTAGAGGGGGTGGGATTTAATCTATTTTTGTGAGTCTGGATTATTTTGACTAATGTAATAATTTCCAGTTCCATATCCCCAAATAATATAATTTTGTGCTTAGTATCTGAATAAAATTTCATTGTGTGTATTGTTTTGTGTGTGTGTTTTGTGTCTCCCCCCACCATGTATGAGTGTGTTTATGATCCATCCATTTGTTGATGGATATCTAGGTTTAATGTATAATTTTCTGTGCCGCAATTAGTATTAATAACTAAAAATTCAAGGAGGGGCTGGGAGAAGGCTCAGCTACTACAGTGCTAGC